GCTCAGGCGGGCTGATTCGTGTCGGTGAGAGAGAGGGTAACTTCAAGCACACGTACGAGTAAAACACACGATGGACGTTCCTTCACATCATGTCTGCATGAAATCAAAATGTCCCAGAATGCTCGTCATGCTGGTATATAATTTTGCAATATATATTTGCATCTTAACGCCATTAAACCTCCTTACTTTTTAACAAGTAAAAAAAAAATCACCCTGTATTTGAATGCCAACAGCAGAAGAGATCATTAGACGCCGACACTGGCGACATACTCCCAGGGATACCGACAGTGAGCGTTGGATATACCAAAAGTGACGGTCACAAAAATGCCCACTGAGACGCCGACAGAGACGTCGACATATACGCTGACAGAAGACACCGGTACGAACACCGACAGAGGACCTTTAGAGACACCGAGAGAGACGGTCAGAGATCGCGATAGAGACGGCCGCAGACATGCCGGCAGAGCAACGATAGAGATGCCATCAGAACATCATAAACCGGCAAAGACAGTGACTGGGAAACCAACAGAAATGCCGACAGAGATGCCATCAGAGCACCGTAAACCGGCAAAGACAGTGACAGAGAAACTGACAGAAATACCGACATAAATGCCGACAGAGGCGCCAACAGAGACGAGATACTGATACGGTTGCTGATAATGACGAGATATTGACAACAAAGACGAGATACTGACAGTTGCTGACAAAGACAAGAGACTGGCGGCTTCCGACAAACACGAGACGCTAAGAGACGCTGACAGTTGCACTGCCAGGACTTCACAACCATCGGCAGAGACGTCGACAGGGAAACTGACAGAGATGAGACATCGATAGAGTTACCGATAAAAATAGACTACAGACTCAGAGACGGCAACAGACGAATGTAACTTTGGAAATCTTGTATTTCATTAAGCCAGTAAAGAAAATCGTATTATGCGTCGATGATACATTGTTCTATGTGGGTTAGAGCAAGACGTATGCTAGAAGCCTCACACCGGCTCTCGTAGGTCGATTGCTGGGAAGGCGAGCAGCTTACACATTCCTCGCCCGTAAACGGTGTTTTGCCACCTTCGCCCATGCAGGGGGGGGGGGTTGGTGCGACCCCCCCCCCTCGCGTTTGAAAACGAAGCGTCGTAGAGCTTAGCGGAAAAGACCAACGGATTGCTCTCAACGAGATCTCGCGATTGGTGGTATTTTTTGGTCCTAGGTCAACATTTGACCTACTTATGACCGGTCAAAGGTCAAATTTTCAGAAAAATCTAACTTTTTCAGATTTCCGCGCCGATTGCAGCAAAACGGTAAGAGATATCGACTTGAAACCTTCACTATCGTGATCCTTGATTAATTCTCTATCGTTTGGTGTGTATTTCGATGTCATAACTCTAAAAATGATGCGTTGGGAGCATCGGAAGTCTGCAAGATCATTTGTGCATTGGGTCACGTCAGGCGTGTGACGTCACTGACCTGACCCTGACCCAAAATGAACTGCAAGAAACAACCGACGATGCCTGAAATGGATAGCAAATTCGAATTCAGGGCATCAAAATACCCCGAAAAGGCATACAAGTGCAAGAAGTCATTACAGGTCAACCGAGGTCACTGACCTTACCTTGACCTTTAGTGACCTTCAAAATGTCAACGGACATTGTGCCAATGTCAAATCAGCCAGTTGTGATTCTAAAACAATCCATCAGTGCGTCAGGTCAGTCGGCATTTAAACCAATGTGAAGCAATCTCCAATTTAGCGTAAATCTGGCCGGAGGTTGTTCCCTTTATGACGTCATAACTCCGTGACCTGACATGACCTTGACAAAAAAATACCAAAAGTTGCGCAAAGGATGCCCCAAAGGGTACTGAAAATTTGAGCAGGCTATCTGAAACGGTTCGGCGTGTAGCTAAGAAAAACCTCAGGGGGGGGGGGGGTTGCACCCCCTCCCCCTACATGGGCGAGGGTTAAGCGGAGGGGAGACGTATGACTGAGCTGAAGAGCTACATCTGGGGTCTGCGGAGCCGAGCGGCGGGTCAGCCATTCTGCTGCATGCCAACCAGCGTAATTAGTGAGTCACGACCGACCCGCCTGGTGGGTCCCGGAGCAGCTCCCAGTTCACGAGCGTTTCTTGATCACACCGTGACCATAGCAGCCGCAGACAGTCGGGGCTGGACGGGTGGTAAGTGAATGGTCGGGGTAGGTGGCGTGGAAAGGTCTTCTGTCGATACCATGAGGGGGGGGGAGGGTCGTAATTGGGGAACACGGCAACAGACACCGTTTTCCTAACCTACCGTAGAGATAAGTGTGTGAAGTGGAGAGGTCCTCTGTTGATATGGGATTGAGATACTCTTGCTTGGAGTGGGTGAACGTTGAGGTAAGTTACACTTACGGTCATACTGCACGCCGCGGCAGAACGTCGCCCAGCGGTCACACGACTGTCGTGACTTACCCGTGACCCGTCCGTCCGCGGTCGCCCCGCCGTGTCATCCACCTGCTGAGCGTGACGCCACCCACAGTCGCTATTCAGACCAGCTACCGACTGGCTCTCTTCCCCACCACGACAGCCTTGTGTCCAGCCTGACCTCCACCTGGCCCCTCCTGCTCCCCACCCACTGGCGGATCCTGGGGGGGGTCCACGGGGTCATGACCCCCCCCAAAAGGTCTGAGAGGGTCATTTGACCCCCCCCAAAAGCCGAAGACCTAAATGCGCTATAGACGCCGTCTTGCATGCTCAAAATCACCTGTCAAACACTTCTGAGCTAATACCTTTGTTTTTCTGGATCGTGTTGCGTGAAAAGGCGTATTGAAGACCAGAATCTTACTCGTTTTTGTCTCAACCGTGCGAGCACCAGGGGATGATCCAGGAAAACTCCAAGGGGATGGTCATGAATTTAATTCGTGGTGCCCCTACCTATACGCAAAATTAAAAACTCAACGGATTTCGGTCACTTAATTTTGGTGATGTCCTATTTTCATTTTTTATTTTGTTTGTTTTATTTTTAGTGCCCCTGGGCCCTGGCAGGTCAAAATCACGTCTGAGGCGAAAGAAATTCACGGGAATCCCAAAAATCACGTCAGGACATTCAGGGCCCTCTGACCAGCCTGACAGCTAGGGCCCTTCTTACTTCCTGGGGCCTCCAGTGAATAACCGCTAGTGTCTGTGTCTGACCGCTAGGGCCCCTCTGACTCCTCAGTAGGTAGGAGGCCCTCTGTAGAGGAGGTCCTCTGTAGAAAGGAGGCCCTCAGTAGAGAGGAGGCCCCCTGTAGAGAGGAGACCCCTTTAAAGAGGAGGCCCTCTGTAGAGAGGAGACCTGCTGTAGAGAGAAGGCTCTATGTAGAGAGGAGGCCCTGTGTAGAGAGGAGGCCCTCTGTGGAAAGGAGACCGCCTGAATGCAGAAGGCCCTCTGAAGAGTGGAGACCCGCTGTAGAGAAGAGGCCCTCTGAAGAAAGGAGGCCCTCTGTAGAGAAGAGGCCCTCTGAAGAGAGGAGGCCCTTTGCAGAGATGAGGTCCTCTGGCTCTTTGAAGAGAGGAGGCCCTCTGTAAAGGAGGCCCTCTTAAAGGGAGAGACCCTCAGTAGAGAGGAAGCCCTCTGTAGAGAGGAGGCCCTGTAGCTTCTGTAGTTAAGAGGCCCTGTGAAAAGAGGAGGCCCGCAATAGAGATCGGTGGTCCTCTGTAGAGAGGAGGCCCCCTCTGTGTTTTGACAAATGTTTTTGCAAATTTTTCGCGGCGCTTCGCGCCGCCGATTTATGTACATACGTACAGGTCAATACGAAATCTTGACTGTAATTACATAAACCAACCGTGTCAAATTGAATCAGAATTCATATGTGTGCTGTAAAGGAACTCCGGCTTGTACTGCAATGCTAAAAGGGTGGTAAAATTTGTGTTTTGGAGCTGTGTTTCGACACATTCTTTTGCAAATTTTCTCGGCGCTTCGCGCCGCCGATTTATACACCAATCAATAAGAGAGAAATAACAGTGACTGTAATAACACCAACCGTGTCAAATTGAATCGGAATTCATATGTGTACTGTGAAGGAACTCCGGCTTGTACTAGCATGCTAAAAAGGTTGTAATATTTGTGTTTTAGAGCTGTGTTTTGACAACTTTTTTTTGCAAATTTTTGCGGCGCTTCGCGCCGCCGATTCATACACAGGTCAATAAGAGAGATCGTGACTGTATGCTACTATTTACTAATGCATTAGGCTAAAAGTGAGGTAGGTAACTATATCTACTTCTGGGTTTTTAAGTCGGTCGACCCGCCTCCCCCCCCCCCAGTAAAAAATCCGTGGCGACGCTCCTATATAGGTGGGTTTCACTAACTAAAACTACTGAGCCGAGTGACTTACGATAAAACTTCATCTTATAAACGACGAAGATCAAATGTCATTTTTTGATCTCGACATACTCGCTCCCTACCCCCCCCCCCCCCGGTCGTCAGAATTCATTCACCAGACCTGGTATGTCGGCCGACTGGTGACCCCCCCCAAAACGACCCCCTAGATCCGCCCTTGTCCCCACCCTCCCTGCACGAACCACCACCAGTTCACGGCCCTTACGTCGTGACCGCTCTGCTCTCGGCGACGTAATTAAAGCGCCCGCACGCCTCTGTCGTCGCCGGTCCCGCCCCGGCCACCGCTGTGTGATTTAAATAGTTCTTGATTGTGCGCTGGCCGCAGAAGGCGCCGCGTTTAGTTGCAGACAAAGCGGCTGGTGGGTCGTTACTGCGGCCGGGTGGTGTGGAGTGAGATGCTAATTGCTACACACGGTGGCAACGATGGGGATTCTACGCCTGGTAGTGGACTGTGGACGGTTATGTGGCTGAGCTTGGCGTAACGGCTGCGAAAGTTGGAACAGTATGTACGGTTGGTTTGTGTCAGGTCGTTAGCAAAAGGTGCTTTGTGTTGTGTGCTTCGAAACGGATATTACTGAATACACAACTTTCATTATCCTTTCGGTGTTGAACGACACACCTAAACATATCAGATAGGTTCGAGAAAGTTTCGAAGATCACTTCATTTTCTTTATTCCAACGAGTAGCCACTAGCCATGCGTCATATATTAAAACAACAATATTTGGTAAGGGTAACACAATATCGGCTGATGCACGCTTACATCTGACGATAACGCTACGAACAACAACGTGCAGAACCATACGACATGAAAGGCTGAAGGTACAGCGCAGTATGTGAAACGGAACCAGGTTTAGCACCTCACGCGCGAAAGTGCTGTACTGCGATAGCATACTCTCTGGATTGCACGTTTACCTATTCGAAAGATGCAAGCACTGCTGTTTAGGTCTCAACATCAGCTTCGCAAGCAGAAACGTCTCTAGCCAGCTCTGGGCTCACTATGCATTACATTGCGCCGATTTCTGTAAAGCTACATGGTAAACCTTACATACATACGTTTCATGTTGACATTAACTCACAATGGCACTCATGAATTTCGACCAGAGCGTTTCTTCGAAGCTGGATGAAACAAATCAGTTGAAAGTAAGCAGCACCATTCTAAGCTATCAAAACGGCCATCGGATTCCAACACACTGCATCCAACACGCTTTGGCCCGGGGAAGCTCCAAGGATAACATTTCAATGACAGTACACAAGTTTCACGACCAAATCAGCCAAATGAGCAAGGTGCAAAACTACGCTATGCACATCATTCTGCATACGTGGCGAATTCCTGATTATGTCATCGAGAATGACAATGCATGAGCGGCACTAGCAGATTTTGTCACCGGATGGAATTTGAGTAGGAGTGACCGAGTGTCTTTCAGGGTCCTTCCTCTTGCCCACGGTCCTCGTGAGGTCCTCCATGTGCTGGATTGAGGCCGACGTCAGTGCCGTCGGAGTCCGCAGCGGCGGTGCCGTGGTGCCTGCCGTCGGAGACGCCTTCTTGGCGGAGGCCCCCATCCTGGCCTCGGACTGACGCCGAAGCAGGGAAGGGTCCGACATCGGGTGGAACTCGTGACCCTTGGGCAGCGGAGGGAACATGGGATGCGTGGGGTACATATGGGGTGGCGGTCTGACCATGCCGCCCTGGGCCATAGCCATGTGGGTCAGGAGGTTCCGCATCGCCATGTCGTAGCTCAACTGGCTGGCGAGTGTGGTGCTCACGTGAAGGGGTGGAGTGAAGAGACCCGATGAGAACGAGTACTCAGGCATCGGGACCGGCATCGGCATGGGAAGGTGAGATGACAGATAAGGCGATTGCGGTCGAGGAGTTGGAGCCCGAGAGCGCGAGGGAGCCTTGTGAGCGGATCCCGCCATTGATGTGATTGGTGACAACGAGATGTGTTGTCGGCTCGCCAGACTGCTCACTATTGAGTGAATCGTCTGAGTACCTTGAGCCTTTGCTGACTTATGTTTGGCCGGCTTCGGCTTCGGTGGGGGCGACGGCGTCTTCGCAAGCATCGACGTTGAGTCCGCCGCTACCGTCTTTCTGACGTGAGTGGTCAAATCAAGAGGTGTGTTAGCGGATGGAGTGGCATCTCGCTTGCTTGGAGCCGTCACTGGATGACTCATCTGTCCTGCTGTCCTTGAGTCCGCTGCAGCGGTCTTTGCAGCTGTTTTCATATTTTTCCATAGTGTGTATGACATGTTTAACTTTTTGTCATGCTCTGCCTTACTGCTTTTGTGATGTTTATTCGAAGCAGTCTTCGTGTGAGCCTTGCTGACTGCAGTCCTGTTGCTGATATCAGGTACCTTCAACACACCAGACGAGTGATGTGTTGCGTATGCTAGCTGACCAGTGGGCTGAGGCTTTTCTGACCGAATCCTGTTCAGAGCAGCCTCAGGGTCAAGATTGTCGGCAGGTTTCGGCACGACGCCGAAAAATTTGGCTTGCTGACGCTCCAATTCTTGTCTTGCAAGGTTTGAAGCGCCTGTGAATGCTTTCTCTGTGGCTTTGTCATTAGCTGGCTTGCTTTGAGGAAGATCATTGACAGACTGCTTTGCAAGTTGTTGATCACCATCGGACAGTTTCCTCGAGTGGATGTCCACAAGGGACGGTACTTTCGTATGGGCATTGCTCACCGGTGGCCTTCTCACTTGAGAATCACCGGTCGACACTCTTCTGCCACAGGATGCCGGATCCTTTCTTTCGCTCGAAACGCTTTGCGGCACAGAGGCGGGACGCTTTTCTTGCGAAAACTTGGATGAAGCTGCTTCAGTATCAGACGTTTGGGACTTTGGTGGAGTAGCACTTCCCGAAGCATCTTTGCCAGCGCCTGCTTTCGCTACAGGCATGGTTTGAACTGAACAGTCTACTTTCGATCGAGCTGGGGACGTCATTGGCGCCGACCCAGAAGAACTTTCGGTCTTTTCAGGTTGCGCAGAGGAAGCTTGCACAAAAAGGTTCGGCACACGCTCAATGATCACTTCCCCTTCGCGAACACCAGCAGCTATCGCTGTGCTGCCCCGGATAGCCGCACTAGTGGCAGTCAGAGCCTCTGCGCCTGGTCTACTACCGCTAGTTGCTAGTGACTTGGACAAAAGATGTGATCTCTTCTCTGACCTTTCGACATGTTTCTTGAGACTGTCGGATTCCTTCTTCAGCATGTTCACAGGCTTTGGACTATCAGCTGTTTCGAAATTTCTGTCGTCAACTCGAACTTTTTTCCCGATTGAAGACGCATTCGACTCTTGCGGCGCTGTTGCCACATCAGATCGCGAATCTTTCACAGGGGTGACTGTTTTGCTGATTGCGTTCGTTTCGCTCTTAGCACTGACGGCTTCATGTCTGACGTCTTTTCTGGTCAGCTCTAACTTGCCAGTGCTTCCCACGCTTCCTCTGTTTGATTGTGAAATGCTACTGGTGGCATTGCTTAGGCATTTTCTGTCTGGCTGAAGCAAAGTCTTGACAACACCACCTGTAGCCTTCAGTGACAAAGGACGTGCTTCGCCTTCTTTATCTTTATGGAAATGTGATGTTTTCGGGGCTCTCCCATCCTCAGCACATGACCTAACTTCAGATTTTGTTGAAGTTGCCGTACTTGCCTTCTTATCCGCTGTAGAGTTGCCTTGAGGCGTTGTTATCAAAGCACTCGGAGCAGCTTGGGCACTTGATGTACAGCCTGTACCGTCGGACAAACCTTTGACACTCTTAGGTGATTCGCGAGAAGACCTCGAAGCATTTGGAGTTGAAAGGTTCTGTTCATGTTTCTTTTCGCCTGGGTTTGACGGAACGTCCTTGTGAGATTTATTTGCATGGCTTTGGCGACTGCCGTCTGTTGATCTATCTGTGCGCACCACTGATGATGCATCAACCTTTTCCTTCGTTTTGTCGGCATCGCTGTCTTCGACACGATGAGCGCTAGGCTGCGGGATGTCTTCACTGGGAGGCTGCATGACATCTTCTCTGGGAGCAGAAGTCACAACCGAACTCGTGTGTGAAACGTCAGCTTTCATAGACACATCAGGATGCGTTGGAACAGGAGACGCTTGACTTGGAGTCAGCTTAGACTCGTCAGTTACCATCGAGTTCGTTGGCTTCGCGACCTGGGTTTGGGCCGGTACACGAGCCAGAGGGGATATAGGGTTTACAAGTCGATGGACGATAGGTCGTGGAATAGCAATCGTAACAGGGCGCTGAACTAGACCCAAAGCTGTGTCTGTTCTGGGAATCTGGGCAAGGTGAGTTACCGTGGGCACTGAATCATCTCCTTCGCAATCCTCTGCGTCTAAGCTAGCAATGATGTCTTCCACAATTTGCGGTGACGTCGGCTCTTCGTCATCAGGGTCAAACATCCTCTCCAAAACTGAAGGCCTTCGAGGGCCTGGGTCTTCAGACTGTGGAGCAGCTGTGTTCTGTGTGCCGCCAGATTCCTCATGATTATCTTCTTTCCCTCGTTCGTCTGTTTTCATTTTCGCCGTAGTGCTCCCAGTCTCTTCACTGCGGGAGACGGGATTATGTCCGTGGTTGGATGATCCGAGTGCTGACAAGATATTCTTCACTTGGTCCCGCTCGACGTTACCTTGCTGTCGGTTCAAGTCGATTTCTTGCAGGATGGCAGTGTTTCCCTGTTGACATCCGCTCTCATCCTTTTGCTGTTTAATGGTCCCCGCGACTGCGGTTGTCGTTGCTGGGGTGGGCGTGGAGGGTTCCTTCTCCTTGTCTTCATTGCTTACGTCCAGCATTTCTTCATCGCCTGATTCAACTCCAGTGCGAGGTGACCTGTCGTCCCCGATTGAATCGAAGATTCCAGAATCCTGCTCACTGGCTGATGTTTCTGGCACTGGCTCCTTATCAACATCATCTGAAACGGTAGCAGCAATTTGTACGATTGGTTTTTCTTCGTCACAGGCAACGCTAAGCTGTTCTTGTTCTTCGACAGTTTTATCTGTCTTGGGAATGTCATTCGCAGTTTTCTGCTCTGTCTCGCTGGCGACGGAGTCCTTATCGTTGCAGGCATCCATACTCTCTCCTTCAGTTTTGGCTCGCTTGACAACAGGCTCTTCCTCACTTGCATGAACGGTCGGCTTGGCCGGTCGCTTCTGCTGCTTGACTAGCCGAAATGAAATGCCGATGGTAGACCCCTGAAACACAAGCAAAACATGTTTGGTTGCTTGCTCGTTTTTCCTCCTGAGCGAATGCCAACATAGAAATATTAAAGAAAATGTGAAGTTCATTGTTCCTAACGTTCAGCGTCCAAAAGGTTCATAAAGCTTGCAGCAGAAACTACAAATCAGCATTCTTTTGTCCAGAAACATAACGCTTACAGCTCACAATTGGCCAACAACAAAATCACGAATATTTTTAATCCGGAATGCTCCGTCAGTACACTGCATTATACCATTACCAGAAGCTTCAAAGGCAAAACAAGTCAAGGAAAACATGGCACAACACCCAGAATCATATGCATGTTGCGCCTGGAGGAAAACCAGCTGATGCGCCATCAGAAGCTCACCTCCGCTGGTCGATACATGTAGCCCACGTCCATTAGGGTGATGTCGGGTGGCAAAATCCGACCGTCATGGATCAGCTGCACCTGTTGGGAAAACATAATTGTAAGTACTTTCTTGTACTAATCATTTAATCAAGTTTACTGAGACTTATGAGTGTAGGTCTATGGAATAAAATGAGAAAGAAAACATTGCTTACTTTCGTTGTCGGCATCTTTTAGGATTATGAGAAACCGGTGTTGCGAGAATGCCATAAGCAACGGCCGAACACTGAATTACTTGTTTGACGAAAACGGCAATGGGCATGTGGCAGTGGTATTTTTCATGATGACTTCACATACTGTTCGCTTATTATATTTTATGGGGTAACGTAAAACATGAAATTAAATACCAGAGAAACAAAAGGCGCAGGCCGCACAACCGTACCTGGATGCTAGAGGCCAACTGAAACTTGTTTCGGATGAGCTTCTGCAGCACGGTGAGGGGTGTACCAGCCTGGCAGCGCAGGTACCGGACCGGAGGTGCGCCGCCTGGTACACCGGCTGCACTTCGCTCCTGCTCGGTACTATCCTCGTCGCACCTGTAGGATACAAAGGGTAACTGAGATCGGCTAAAAATGCACCATTTTATCGTCATTGATTAATTGCGAGACTGGCGTATAGATGATGCATAAATCATAATTCTAAAATTAATGCTACTTTAAGTGCTACTTTAAGTGGGACGTGTTTTCTTTTCTACATTCAGGCCCGAGCCCAGTCGCCTAATGATGGCTTGCAAGCGATTTACTGTTCTAAATGCTTTATTCTCCTTGATCGGTGGAGAGCCATTGAAGTCAAATTGGTCGCATGGCGTTAAAGATATTGCGCAATGCACAACTCTAGGCCCAGATGAGAAATTATACGTATTTTCATTATATATATATATATATATATATATATATATATATATATATATATATATATATATATATATATATATATATATATATATATATATATAATAAATGCAATATTTTCAAGGAGAATAACACTTTCCAATACAGCAAATGGGCGGCGGTCTAGTGATATACGCCTCAGCTGATACAGCGGCTAGATGTGATTAGCATATAATGTGTGGGCAGCCGTGTCATTCTCATGCACCGCACACCGCCCTCGCTCAGAGCTTTATTCAATCAGAGCCTATTGTAATGCCTCGCGGAGGCGGTGCACTGTACGCGATGGGCGGCTAGTCCGACCGACGTGGCACCTGTACCGTGCTCACACGTACCTGCTCTCAGCGTCGAACATGGCCAGTCGCAGCTGGAGGGGCTCGTCGGGGGTGAAGACGTGCGGAACGTGGGAGGTCACGTCTCCCTTGGCCCAGCTCGGCAGCTCCGGGTCTGAAATGGACAGAATGGAGACACGTCAAGGAATTGGACTTGTACAGCGTTCGTAAAAGATTTGTAATATTCGCATAAAACGAACAACAAATGTTGTGGCTCAGGTTTTCCGTTGCCGCTTATAGAGAGCTAACAGCAAAGTCCCAAAATTTCCGGCGATATCTTTGTGTAGGATGACTAAATCAAGCACCAGATATCGTCAAACCCCTATCGGCAGGTGATCATCTAATAAAACAGAAATGAGCCCCAGTCAATGACCCGCAGACCAGCGACCCTGTCCAGCGACCAGTGACCGTATCATTACTCCGTCACCGATCAGCGGAGGGTGACCACTGACCATGCCGCCCCGACAGCTCCCCCCAGCCTCGGCGATAAGCGCGTTACCCGCCCATCCAGCAGAGCTCTTAGAGCCGTCGATGGAACAGACCGCCGCGCCGCCGCCGACGCGACGGGGCGGACCTCTGGGAGCCCGCCGCTCCGCCCGTGTGCCGCATTACATCCACTATTGATCTCAGGGACGTCGAAAGGAAATTACCGCGGTGAGGGCTCAACCTAATCAATTTGCCGGAGCGGGCACCGTTCGATCAGCTGAGACTCTGTGCGCCACGGTGGAGAGATCCCAGCGGTGGCGCGCTTCTTTGGTAATGAACTGATATCTTCCCAGCTGTAGCATGACACGACGGTAATCCAGTCCAGGAGAAACTGCGATAGCTTACTTCGGGTCTTATTTTAGCTGATGTTCTAGCTAGCCATCCGTACAAGCATGAGACCAGTATCGTGTTCAATGCATCAAGAATCAGGCACTTACAGTGAGAACTTTTGGCATAACTACAGACCGATTACAAATTTCTAAAGAAAATCATGACGTTTGCCGAATCACCTATCACCCATGTCAATGAACTCAACGGAAGCATGAACTGCTGATCCTCACTCGTAGTTAGCTAACATTATAAATACCATCGGCATCACAGCCACTGGACCGAACTCCACGCCCTGCTGAGCTCCTCTGAAGCATGTTTCAGCGTTCCGGGGAGGCCTGATCGCGCCCAATCTGAGGATTAGTCGGCACTGGCAGCGGCCGAGGGCCGGCCTGACGAGCCGCTGCGGTCCGCCGGATCACTGAGGCTGTGTTCGAGCCGATCTGATTCGCCGGGCGTTCAGTGAAGCAGTCACGCGCGAGGTAGATATGCAGATTGGTCCGTCATGGCGTGGTCCGAAGACTTCATGCTGGTTCTTAGACATCGGATTGGTGAAAATAGTCTGCTCGGAAGTGTTTTTACTTCCTTGAACAGCGGAAAAGCACGAAATACTTAAGAAAATTTATCTGACAGGTTATATCTGTTGTATTCACGGATACACAACAAAAGCCCGAACTCAGTCGAAGTAAAGTTACAAGTCCTTGGCCCAGTGTAGCGCAGCTGGACGTCGCGCCGCGATGGCTAAGCTCTGGCGATTGCCGGTGCAGGAAACCACAAAGTCGGGACTCTGGTGCGCCATCAGACGGCATATTTCGCGAGAGATCGAGATCGAAACTCGGGAGGGATCAGCCGTGAGAGTGAAGACATCGACCACCCCGAAACTCAGCACGAATCCGAGACGTGGCCGAGCTGTGGAGCTGAGACGATCCCCGGTCCGATCGACAGCCGAGCTATGAAAACAATCAAACATTCTGCATGGATTCCGCTGTCATGAGTCAGGGCCAGTATTGCATACAGCTAGTCGCTAGACATAACCAACTCCACCGAGGAAAGGACCAGGCAGTGGCATATCCCAGCCCAAGATAGAGTCACGGTCAACTCCTGTCAGTTTCAGCATATCTGCTGCTGTCACACCACCCCCTCTGGCGGTGCTAGCGCCACACAGCACCAGCCTGTGATCGCTCTACCGTCCCCGACACTCGGGCACCGCTGTCGGCCGCAGCCGGCGCCCCTTTCACCGTCACGAGCCACTTTTTGTCCTGATTAATTCTGTGGATTAATCGCGGTGCTTTCACCGCGCCGCGCGGCCCACAGTGCGCTCACCCCATGCACTATGGCGGCATTCAGGCTTTGGAGCGGTGTTGGTATGAAGCGCAGGCCTGGGCGGTCTACAACGCAGGTTCAGGCAGCATCTAGTGTCAGCCCGGGCGGGCCCCAGCGCAGGCCCAGGCGGCCTCAGTGTAGGTTCAGGTGGCCCTCAGACCCGTACACAGCCGGCCGCCGCCGAGCCGTCTGGCCACTACCAAGAACCAGTGGAATGCGATCGCATACCGCGATACGGTGCGGGCGCGGGCCGGGCCTGTCGGCACCGCCGCCCCTTGTCCGGCACAGACACGGACACGGACACGAACAGGGCGGACATATGGGCGGACACTGGGCAAGAGCGCCGCATGGCGGACACCGCGGGGCGTACCGGGACATGGCAGGACATGGCAGAAGATAGCGGGACGCCGCGGTCGAGAGCATTAAGTGACAATGCTGGAACAACGCTGGACTGATGGAATAAATAGCAGCTACAGTCCGTTGACAAGAATTATTGATTCAGACTTGATAACAAATTCAAAAGAAACAGTTGCCTTCCTATATGATAATGCGTGTGAAATACTATTAGAGCGCACTACTATTGCAAACTTCTACACAAAATGGTGGCTAAAAAGATAAGTTAGTCAGTGGCAGAGCCGTTCATTGAAACCTGGGCCCAATCTTACCAACACTGTAAAAAATATTGACGAGCTATGTGTCAAAACAAGGGTCTCGAAACAGTCACCAGGTTGTCAATGCTTCCGGTACCTACCACTTGACTAGTTACCGCTTAGTTAGCTTACAGGCTGAGAACTATCCAGGTCGTTATGATCCGGTATTGTGATGATACCCTAGTTGTACCTTTGTTTTGAAGTGCTGAATTAACTATCAAGGTTGTTTGACGTTTGTTTTCGCCTCAATCCGAAACGAGGAAGACCCTCATCAAATTAATAGGTGAAAGCCAGCCTCAGGATGATCAAAATACTAGGGGTAGTTTTGTCATAGTAATCTGTGAAGGGTGAGGAACAAGCCGTAGCAATGCACTCGTCACTAAACCAGCCTGAGATTATTCGCCAGGTAGCTGCTGCGTTTCCCTACTTGCTGAATCATGTTAGCAACTTTCCATTTCCAGACACTTTTTACGGCAAATAAATAGTTGGGTTATTTGGTAGGTGAATGACAATTTTATTTCTATAAGTCAATACATTTGTATTTCCGATTGCCCTAAAACTTTTTTTTTAATCGTTTGCGGTAGGTTTTTATTGTTCGCAATAAAGTTGCGCACCTGTGAATCCTTCACTTAATGCGTTCCCGGCTTCCCGGCGCCAGTTGCGCTGTGCCGTGCCGCGTTCGGTCGGAGGTGCGCGCGTCTGTGCAGTGCGAGTGTTTATCACTGGGCAAACCTGTATCGTTTCCATTTGTGCAGTGTCTAGTTATGAAGAATTGCTTGCCGATATATGACCTGCAGTGATCGACGTTCTGATTCAATAACTTGCCATAAGCCATTATTCTCAACTAAATCGCGCAGAGACGTTTGCAAAGTTGTCGAGGGGGGGGGGGGGAACAAGAGCGATTTTAAATGAATTGCTCTCCATGCAGTGCAATAGGACTTTGGTTTAATTTTTCAAAAGTTGTGGAGCCGCCCCCGGTGTCCGGCCTGGCCAACTCTCTCAAGAACCGACAGCTAACGGATCACTGAAGTTTCACTACGACGATTTCCGCCAAAGTTATGAAGAAAAGGCAAGTGCAAGAAGTACAAAACTTCTCTTGGTAATCAAAACTTAGGTTTGGCAAATTCCAAACCCTAAGTCACTACAACTGTGGATATAAATAAGCTGGTTATTGACGGCCAAGCTCTGGCCAATCTGAGGTTCAGACCTATCATCAAGTTCATGAGGCAGCTGCGGTTGGGCGGCTCACGGGCTCCACTGCATAGGCTCAGACAGGTACTCTACAAAATGTCTTCTGTGTTCTTAGGTTCAGATCTATCGATATGTGCATGCTTCTGATTCGATTGATAACTGTTAACGGGCGCTGGAAGTGAAAGGTTCGCTTGATATACGAAAGGTGCATTGCAAGAAAGCATATTATTTCAGAAATACACTTTCATTTTATCTTGAGCGTTTTTGGAATGGGCCGGATGAATTCGTCATCAAACTGGTAAGAGATTTCGTTTGAAGACCACCGATATGTAATAATATGATGGTCTTCAAACGAATTCGCTGGCAAATTCGATGACTGGATTGGGCGGCGTAGGATCTGCTGGTCATCTGACTATGGGTTGAGCAATACGTTAGTTTTGACCTAGTTTGAGCTTCATTCGTTAAGTAGGAACAAGACGATGCTTCTTTTGAGCATCGTCACTAAACAAGCCGCCCTCGTTTTGACATTGTTTTTCGTTATTATTGTTACTAGGTAGGTTGTTATCATACACAGCATTAACGAGGACCTGCTTCCAAAACAAGGCAGAAACGCTCCAGCTATTTTTGGGACGTGGTAAAAACTAACCGACACCTGGTAACTGTCATCTGACGAACACAAAACAAGCCAGGGGCTCGCACCGTGTGTCAAAAGTAGAATGCAAAACTAGCCTGTACCCCCGACATTTAGCGTTGAGAATCATTTGACGAGGGGCTAGTCAATATTTTTTACAGTGAATGCTGTGAATAGGATTTGGCAGCACTGGCCGGAGTTTACGGCACTGATATCAAAGATATCCTTTTTATTTACATCCAGCCAATCTTGTCCAATGATTTTGATAGCGTCAATGATTATGAATGTTGCCTGAACGAATGAATAAGTGAATGTGGAATAGTTCTGAATGTTACCAAATGCCGTGAATGCGCATTCACGGCATTTGGTAAGATTGGGCCCTGGTTCGACGTTAACCGTCAGCGTTCCTTACTGAAGTCTACATGGAGTTGGAGTGGACTGTGGAGTGTGAATTGGAATTGAATTGGAGTGAGAGTGTAGTGTTTTGACACATATGGCAAGCAAGTG